TGGCTGCAGCCGGCGATGAAAGGTACATCGAGAGGTTCCTTCTAAATACGTTCCATCTGAGCAGCCCAAACCCAATTGCACATGGTTCCCCGTCCCTAAAATATGTTCTTTGATATACCATCGTATTCTATAACCCAGACCCAATAATCGCCACGGAATGGAATAGGTAAATCAGGCACGGCCACCAAATAGAAAATGCTCGGAGAACCCCCCCCGACCGGCCAGCTTTGAACGACCTGGAGCGCGCCAACGCGGAGCTGGGGGCCCTCCTGCCTCAGCTGCGACAGGCCAGCAAAGATTTGGCATAGTAGGGCATAGTCCACGGTTATTTAATGGCATAATAAGGGGAGCGGTAACGGGATAGTTAAGGGGATAGTAAGAATAACGGGGCGACAATACAATACATAATTGGGCAGAAGGCGATAAACAGAAAGAAATAGTTTCGGGGATAGGAACAGATAAAGAGGAGCTAGTTAATGGATAGGTAATGGGATAGTCCAAGGGGATCCACGGGGTTATGCCGCCCAGGCGTGTCAAGGCCTGAGCGTGGTCCGTGAGGCGCAGGCCCAAGGGGTCTGCACCTCCGAGCTAGTCCCCGGCCACCTCCCAAACGAGGAGGTGGAAGCACGCCACGGGCGGCTTTATGGCCACGCCAAAAAAGGTCGTGCACCGAGCCCGGACGGCGAGGCACCGGGCAGGGGGCAAGGATGTTGTACCGGACGACGCCTTGCACCCCTTGGCCCGCCCGCGGCAAGCACCAGCAGCTGCGAAATGGGACTGGGTGGGCACGAAAGGGCGCGTGCGGGCCCAAGGCCCCTGCTGGCGGCCATCGTGTCCAAGTCCCGACAGCTGCAACGCAGGTGCAGGGTGCCCAGTACATCTGCGGCTGCAGGAGCAGCACGGGCGGGATACGGAACAGTACCTGCGAGCAATGCTCGCTGAAGGACCGTTCCATCCTTTCAGCAAGCATGCGAGCCTCAACGAGGTCTCGGCACGCTTCGGGAGAGATGTTCCGGCGGACTATCCCTTGCCGGTAGCCCCGGGCCACGTGCGGAAAGCCAAGCACACCTGCCGCCGGCCCGACTGCCCGTTCAAGGGCACGGACCGCGCGTGCAGGGGCGGCCGTGAGTGCGAAGGCCGCGCGCGGCTTGGATCGTTTCAACGCGTAATCGGTTCTCCCTTGGTGTTCTGCAACGCGGGGATGAGAATCGCATTGTAATGGCTGCATGGATGTGTACGTGGTGCTGCAAAATGCATGGTAATGGCTGCATTCATCTGGCATGGGACTTGTGTTGGGGAGGAAGCCGGAGCACGAAACCGTGTGTTTTTCTGTGTAAAGTGGCTGCAGGCTGCAGGTTGAGCTGTGCTCAGATGAAGTGAAAATAGCCAAGAAGAACTTAGCTGACATATGAGAAGACATGAAATGAGATGAGAAGAGCTCGGATGAGATGAGTGCAAGTGTGAAGTGTGGAGTGCGGGGTGAAGAGTGCAGTGCGAAGAGTGAAGAAAGTGTTCCCTTGGCGTTGCATTGCGCCCGGGTCGCGCGCAGGTCCTGTTCTTGGACAGCAGCACAGCAGTCTGGGAAAAAACACGCACGCACGGGCCTCGCTCGCGCACGGCGCATCCAAGTTCTATAGATGAGAAAGGCCTTATAGTATAACTCTAAGGCAACTTCCGCCCCGCCTCGTGCCGGTACTACTGGTAAGTGGATCTACAACATCACAATATTTCACACTTATAGAGGCTCTATCCCGTCTAATGAGTTCTAGCCATGTTTTTCAACCCAACAGTTCGTTCGCCCAGTGGCTGAAACTCAAAGTTCGCCCAGTGCCACCTGGCATCGTGGAGAAGTATCAGTTGAAGCTGCCTATTTATCCTGGCATCAGTCAGGTCGCTGGACCTGGGTTGATGGGTTAAGGACGGGTTGGGGATGGGTTGATCGTGGTTTCTAAAGTTATACTGTAAGTGTTCTACCATTAAATATGCGTTCTAAGCTGATTTAACCACCAAGGATCGATTGGAAACCAACAAGCTGACAGCCTGCGATGAGAGTTTTTGAAGTGTTTTTTCAGTGTCCTCTAGATGGACTTGAAGCAAGTGGCCAGATTCAATTGGTTTCCTCTGGAAGTGTGAATTTCCATCTGGCTATTTTCGTATACACAGGGGAAAAACATAGTTCATGCATGAGACATCATTTATCCCAGCAAAATTGGAGACCTTGGAGACTTTCGCCCATCAGAACATGGGTTTTGGTTTCAAAAACTGGGTCCGGTCATTAGAAACCTTCGAAGTCACATCCCCATCAGTTTAGCTGTTGAGTGTGTTAAAGTTTTTTTTTTCAGTCAACAACCTATTGAAAGAAGTGCTATGGATTCCGTCATGGCTACCGCCATCACGGTCCGCAGGTGGTCGAATTGCCCAACTGAGAGTGGCGCTGCCAAAGTTCCACCAGAAAAAAAACACATGGCCCATAGACAAAAAAAGGCTTGCGTATACTTTTCAGGTCAGAAACGCAAAACCAAAAAATCGTTTGCCATTGTGCGCACCAAAAAATGCACCAAGATTCATGGGGTAGTTCGACCAATCCCGGTGCTTCACTGGTAACGCTCAGGTTTTCTAGAAAAACCAGTTGAAACTAGTTGAAACTTCAGGAAAACACCATTTCTCTTTGGTCATAAATTTCATAAATGGGGGTTTCATTCCCATCAGAAACGCTTGAAAATCTGCTTGCACCGAAAATCGATCCACAGTTCACCGCCCAGCGATCTCGTGCACGAAGCCGCGAGAACGTGGCGCCGGGGAAAAGAAAAAGGCTGGTGGATATGGAGGTTTCCTGAAATGGGGGTAGCCACAAATCATCCAAATTTAGACCAGCTTAATATTGAAACCCATGGTTTTGGGATCCACCATTTTAAGAAACCACCATATGGGACCAAGATGGATAAAGTCTTAGGGTGAAAGATATCCTTCCCATTTGTAGATGATTTTCCCAGCGAAACCTCCAGTGAATTCGGGGATTTCCCAGGCATGTTTGATTTCGCTGTATAAAGATCTACTTGGGCGTGATGTGCATACATACAAACATAATATTAACATATATACATATATATATATATATTCATATATACAAATAATATTCATATATATATATATATTCATATATACACATAATATTCATATATATATATATACATACACACATATATACACACATACATACATACATACATACATACATACATACATACATACATACATACATACATACATACATACATACATACATACATACACATACATACATACATACATACATACATATATATATATACATAATATATACACATATAGATATATACATAATTATTAGATGTAACTAGCTTGTAACATCTTGTAACTGGCAGGATCTTGGCGGGTCCGGTCACCAATCTCCACTTGCTGCCTGTTGGTTCTGATTTCTTCACGTGGATGGCATTTTCGCTCTTTGCGAAACATCGAATTTATTGTCCAAAAAACGGATGCCACTCCGATTTCGTCCAATTTCCATATATTTCCATGGGTTTACCATCATTATTGGAGGTTTATTTTTCAATTTCATCAAAATTGTGATTTTGGGGTATACCATGGTATACCATATTTTTATACCCCCATTCCGGACAACGCCAAATACACTGGCCCCTGTCCCACTTCAATTTAAGGCTGGTAACCCAATGATGAACCTCCGATTGGGCGACCTTCACCAAAATTGGGATAGGTTTATGGCATTGGGTAACCCACATTCTCCCATTTTTGATGGTCGTTTCCCAATTTTTGATGGTGCCTTGATTTTGGGTCTGCACATTTTTGATGGTGGATCTAGAATTTAGGCTCTCAAGGTTACATCCCATTTTTGGGTCATTTCTTCATCCAACATCCAGTGCTTTTACATCACCTCGCCATAGCTCGCCGTATCGCTGATGGCAGGCATCACCAAGAGGTGACAGCAGGTGTCCCTATAGAGGGCCGACATCCACAGGTGCCACTTTGGGATCCGAGATGAGGAAATCATTGATCTTTGTTTTTTTTTGGTGGTTTGGCAACCATTTTCTGGTTGGTTGAAAGAACATGTTTCAAAGAGTGTATATTACGAGTAAATCATTGATTTCAAACAAATTTCTGGTTTAAGACATAAAAGGGTGATTGATTGATCTTTAATGACTGTGATTCTTTGGATGACTGGCTCAACCAATCAGTGATGTCTCCCTTTTTCAACACGCAGCGCAGCGAGGCGTACCTACAGGAGACAGAGGATCCTGGGAAGTTCCTGTGGGCCTTCTCAGACAGGGATGGGGATCAGTGGGAATTAACACGACGGATTTCGACGGATTTCGACGGATCCAGAAATGGTTGTTGGTTGATGGTTGTGCACCCATGGTGATATTATGTGATACGAAAAACATGTGCACATAAACCTGTGAAGATGGGGAGAATGCCAGAAACAATGGTAGCAAAAGAGAGGATACAACCTGCAATGATGATCGGTTGATGGTGACAGCATGTTTGAGCTTGTACTGACTGGCTTGATGCGGATTATGTACTACAGCAATCCACGGACTGGGAATCGGAGGCTCAAACCACCCAGTGCTATGGGTATAACAATCAAACCTGGCGACTGGCTCGATTTTTCTCTTTTTCCATAGGTAATCATCTACAGATGACATGGGTCACTGCTAGTTTGAGCCAAGTTGCAGGGTAAAATGGACCGTCGCTAAGCCTAGCCTAGTGTGTTACCCTCTGGTAAACTAACATAACTATGGAAAATCACCATTTTTAATGGGAAAATCCACTATTTCTATGGTCATTTTCAATAGCTACGTTAAATTACCAGAGGGTAGTTCCTTCAAAAGACCATCCCGTCCTCCTTGGACCCGCCAGGTATATCCCAACAAGGGAGTTCCAGGGGAAAGAAACCGAGGACTTCAGAGACAGCACGGAGGCGGGCTGAACGAGACTGGCTTTATGGGTGATACAACTATAGCCAAGGGGGTTTATACATATAGGATATATATATATATATGTATATGTATATATATATATATGTATATGTATATGTATATATATATAATATAATATAATATTTTATATAGACAAATAAATAAATGAATGAATGAATAAATAAATAAATAACAATAAATAAATAATTCATATATATATATATATATATCAGGCATAATATGTACACATCTAATCACATTGATAAACCAACTGCAACACTGGGGGGTCACCCGCCAGGCGGAAATTCACAAGGAACCTGTGAAGGTATTGAGCTTCTCGGACGGCCGTCGAGGTTGAATCAACGAGGGGTTTCGCCCGCGAAAAATGCCGGTTTAACATACGTAGTTTAACCAGACAAATGATTGGGTATAAAGCTGGGTAAAGGATTGGTAGATTTCTGGTGTTTGACCAACATGTTTGTTATTTTGATATATATACATATATATATATACACATACACACGTATATATACATATATATATATACATATGTATATATAGGCTCGTCCCAGGTCCTGGAACTACATACGATGGGGTGGGGGGATGGGGTGGGATGTTAACGTTCATGTGAACTTGCAGAAGCAGTTGATGCTAAGCACACGCGGGGTGGGGTGGGATGTTAACGTTCATGTGAACTTGCAGAAGCAGTTGATTGTACGCACACGCGGGGTGGGGTGGGGGGGGATGGGTTGGGATGTTAACGTTCATGTGAACTTGCAGATGATGATGGTAGTAATGCTGATGATGATGATGATGTGATGATGATGATGATGATGGTGCTGATGATGATGATGATGATGATGATGGCCCTAATGAAACTTGTCAATTCCGCGACGAAATTTCGTCACGGAATTGACAAGTTTTATCAACCTAATTCGGGTTTGCGCAGTTCTAGGACCTGGGACGAGGCTATATATATATATATGCACATATATATATATATACATATAGACATATATATATATATTTACATATATATATATGTATATGTATATGTGTATATATATTTATGTATATGTATATGTATATGTGTATATATATATATATGTATATGTATATCTATATATATGTATATATGTATATATGTATATATGTATATATGTATATATGTATATATGTATATATATATATATAAACATCTGTGTTTTTATGATCAAAGAACGGGGAACATCCCCAACTGCAATTT